TATTGTCAGAAATGTGACATGGTCATCATTTTCGTCAATGTGGAAAAATCTTTACTAACGATCCATTAACTTTAGGAACGGCCTCCTACCGTCACAAATAATATTTTCTGACGGATTGTCACGCAAAAACTAGTTGTGACGCTCGTATTTGGAACTGACCGCAAAGGCTACATGGGATCGCAAAAGAGAAATTGCGACGAAATTTGGCATTTACTGACAGAATCCTCTGGCCATTAATTGCAGTCTTTTTTATAGTGATGTAGACCCTTCCGTGAAAATCATGAGATCGTCCGCAAAGCATAAATGCGTAAGACCTTTAAATTTGCACTAAGGATGATAGGGATGCTCATTTCCTTGTCTCTCCCTCTTCTTTGCTAAGAAAAAGCCAAATAAAGATCCATACAAGCTGACAATAAAATAGGCAGAGTTCAAACAAAGCTGAATCCAATTCATCCATGACTTTGATGAGATAAGTCCATTCAACTAAATAATAAGCATTGTTGTTATTAGGAAGATCTAAAACTTCTAACTCTGTTGACATGAACCGAGCCTCGTCCTCTTTTACTCTTTCAGTTATATTAGAAAATTCATCCTTGTTAAGCTGCTTGAGTGTTTGCTTCAAGTGATTTAGCTTCCTACAAACTCGTCTTAGTATAGTTTCATAATGTTTTTGCTTCCAAGAACTCCTGTTAATACTGTCATATTTTGAACTTGCTCTCCACATATCATAAAATCTACAACCCTCTCTCCTTCATCATTCTAGGCATACACCGCAATGAAGACAAATTGATCCTTTCTTAAAAGTGAAACCAAAACATGAAGAAAATTTACATCTCTAGCCAAAAGTAAAAATCTCCAACAATAAGTTCTCTGATCTGACGAGTCTTTTAGAAAGATAAGTGTGGTTCTAGTTAGAGAAATAAACCAACAATCTGGGCGATGAAACTTAATTTTTAGTGTTTATCATTAACATATTTGATACATTTTTCCTTCTATCAATGCATCTTTAATACTTTTTCATATATTTTATATGTAAATCATAACTATTTGATCAATGAGCATTTGATAGACATAGGTTTTGTTTTTCTATCCTTTTATACTTTTTTTATATTTTGTGCTTTCAAGGTGAAATACAAACCTAAAAGGATTTGGATCAAGCATGGGATGACTTTGGAGGACCAAAAGAGCTAACAAGAGAAGAATATGAAGTTTTCGTGTAAAAGACGACGTCCAATGACAGCGAAACCTACTGGGAACCACGATTAGAGCCCAAAAGGAGCCCAATAGAGAAAAACTCGGCCAAAATCGGAGCAACAACCAATGTCAGGTCCAACCGCCACCCAAGCAAACCTGGTCAAAAGACGGAGAAATCTTTAGGAGAGGTGGTTTATGGGCCAAGGAGTCCATCCCACAAAGAAAAGTAGTGGCGGTTCCAGCCGCCACTCCAAGGTCCAAACCCCAACAAAGATCTTTAGGCCATGCTTTGGCCCTAGGGATGGCAACAAAACCCGAACCCATGGGTACCCATCCGACCCAACCCGGTCAACGCGGGTAAAATCCGTGTTGACGGGTTTTGGGCCGGGTTTGGGTTTAAACCCGTTCACTATTCACCGGGTTGGGTTGGGTTTGGGTTTAGGTAAACCCGGCCCGTGGGTACCCGCCCACTCAAATAATTAATTTTTTCGGTATATTTAATATTCTAAACAACTAATCTTATTTATATTTGTGGAGACATGTCTAATTTTTTTCTTTTTAATTGTGTAGAATTAAGTTGATGTTATGGAGTGGAGAGTAAAGAAACTTAATTGAAAGGAAGAAGTTTTCAATTAAACATGTTATTTATGGATAATTTGTGATTTGCTTCAATTTTCTTAAGTTTTCTAGATTGGTGTTGAACAATTTGTATAGTTAATTTGTGATTTGCTTGAATTTTCTAATTTGGTGTTTTATATATGGATAATTTGTATTGAGAGATTGATATTTGACTTTAATTTTGATAAGAACTTGTAATTGTAAATTTTTTACGACAAACCCGTGGGTACCCATGAACCCGCGGATACCCAACGGGTTGGGTTGGGTTTGAGTTTTTCAAACCCAGTGGGTTTTACCCCGGGTTTTTTTCAAAGATAAACCCATGGGTTTGGGTTTGGGTTTGGCAAAACCCGACCCAACCCGACCCATTGCCATCCCTATTTGGCCCCAAGTTAGAGAGACATTGTCCTAGTAGGGTTAGAAGGTTTTTGCCGAGTTATACCTCTATAAATAGTGATAGACGCGTTAGTTTAGTATGTTACACAATTTCATTCCAAACTTCTATAGAGACTCTAGAGCTTAGCATTCTTAGAAGGGAGTGCACCTAAGGATATGCCTTCATCATCGATGGTGAAACCCTTCTTCTCGATTGTGTATGAATGTGAACACATTTATCTTTATATGTATTGATGTTATGATCTCATATTGGGTCCAAGCTCCCCAGGAACTTCCTCGACAAGTAACTTCGCCCACAAGTTGAAGGAAACCGATTTAAGTGGGATAAAGAAGGATTTGGCCAACTTTAGGAGGAAAAGACTAGAAACAGCACCCCCCCCCCCCTCTTTCTATAACTAGTATAAATAGGAAGCTATGCTAGATTTTTCGTACACACCTAACCAGCACTCTGCCCTAGGGGCACGAGTAACAATCCATAGATGGGAGGCAAAACTCTGCTGGTAATTTCTATTTTGCCAGATATGGAAACTTTCCCTTCGGTTTCTGCATCATAAGTGAGTTTGGACAACTCGAATAGAAAGTTCAAGAGGGGTTAGGAATCTCCGCTGCATAAATCTTGAGTGTGTAAGCTAGGAACGTCAATGTCAACCTCGTTAGTGGCTAAAGGGAATCAATGCCTAAGTGAGCTCCCAACTTGTGGTTTAGTCGGTGTAGTTGTTATAGTCATTAATTTAGTTTAGTATCTTAATCTTCAAATCTAGTGTGGCTAAATAACAAACTGAAGCGGAGTAATGGCATATCTAGAAATCCTAGAATTCTAAAATTTTCTTACTTTACTTCCACTATACTACACCCGATCGCTGGTTATACTTGGTCTTCACTTAGGAAAGTAGTTTAGAGCGAGTCACCTAATTAGAGTTACCCATATACTAAGTCTATTTAGTCAGGGTTCGTCCTAGCAAACCTATATATATGAGCTTGTAAATTGTAAAGAAGAATAAGGGTCAAAAGAATAAGAAAAACTTGAAGCGTTGTATCTCTTTCATTCCATGGACTAATCCTGACGTTAAGGTAAACCAATTTAAAACGAGTGTCTCTTATCTTTTCTCGTTTGATTCTTAACATAACCATCTGATCCAAATAGAAGAACAAGGTAGTGACATGCCAAAAGGTTATGCTTACTGTTTCTGTACAAAATGTGTTTGGTGGAATAGATTGTCTCTAATTTTAATGCTTGTGCCGGTGTCTCCCTTCTTGTGCCATTTTTATTTCGTCTGAAATGGTGATTATTGCCAGGGTTAAAACAGAGACAGAACATTAATTAGATGAGTAGACTGTGGAGAGATCCGAGGGCGCGGGTAAAATCCCTTTTAGCCACCGACTTTGGACACATAGTTAATCTTGTTGCAATGGTTTAGACGGCAAGTGACCATTCTGAAGTTATAAAATGAGAAAGAAAAAGACTGGGATCGACTGAAACTGTGATATAGAAAGATGAAGAAGTGCCATAATCTGCTCGGCAGAAGCTTCACCAGACGTGAACAGAAGATGGTGGGAACAGGGGCCTTGATCACTTTCCTCCTCATTGTTGTGAGCATCTGCACCGTCTTTCAGGAATGGGCTAATCTCCCTTCTCCATGTAAAATTACTTTCTACTACTTCAAAGTTCCTCCTCTGAAATTGTACAAATTTTCATATATGTATGCATGTGTTCTTCTGATTTCGATCTTTTCGTGGGCTCGATCTTCGCAGTGGATATTATACGGTCTCCTGGAATTGTTGAAGTGGCAAAGAAGAGTAAGTATGTGTAAGCATACGCCGTTTCGGATTAACTTAACTTACCCAGCTATGGATTGATGGTACTCAAAAATTTGGATACTTCCTCCGCAGATGATAAATCCAATGGTGATACTAGAAGCTCTGGGCAGCAGCAACTAGTTGTGCAGCGTGAGCATCTGTTTCTGAAGCTGTTAACATAAAATGTGTTGCAGTATTTGATCATTTCGATTTATTTAGGGTAATAGGATGCATAATTTGTGTCCTGCAATTGATACCATGCTGCAGATTCTACTGCAAAGAAGCCAAAAAAGACCAAGAACCGCACACTAACAGGCATCCCTAAAGAAACTACCACCAACGTCGGCACAGGTATGCAAATCATAATAAAAAAAAAGTTATAGGTATAATATGCCCCTCTACTATTATGTTCTATCAAACATGCCCCTTTACTATTGTTTACATCAAACATGCCCTTGTGTTTTGTAAAAATTATCAAACATGCACTTTTGTTAAAATTTTCATCCAAAAACCGTTAACCAACGTTGAACTTTGGTTTGGGCGACACAAATGTCTAAAACATCCCTAATAATTTCACTTTAGAATTTTTTTGATTATTTTGTATATCCAAATAATTCAAATAATTTCACTTTGAAGACACCCAGAGAAATAAAACGGGGGACAAAACTAATATTTTCCCTCCCATTTCCCAATGTCGGGTCGTCTAAATCTCGGTTCAAATATGATTGATGATTTTTTCAATGGAAATTTTAACAGAAGGGTACGTTTGATAATTTTGTCAAAGTACAGGGGCATGTTTGATGTAAAAAATAGTAGATGGGTATGTTTGATAAAACGTTATAGTAGAGAGGCATATTATACTTATAACCCTAAAAAAATTGAAACAGTTTGACCTCTGAAAAAAAAAAAAAGACATGTGACGCGGAGCTAGCATGCATGTCTCCCTATATGCAGATCGTGTCGAGCTAAAACAGAGGAAAAGAACGTTGTCCGCCATGTGCAGGAAGGGTGGAATTTCAGAATTCTGTGACCTTAAAGGTGATATAAGGATTGATCCCAATCCACCAATTGTATACTACGTTGTCCCAACTGAAGCGGCCGACAACAATGTCACCTCGTCGTTGACGATAAAGCCCTACGCACGAAATGACAATGCGGGTGCCATGGAGTCGGTAAGGGAATGGACGGTGAAAGTGGTGCCAAAGAACCATCAAGATTTGCCACATTGCTCTCGAGTTCACGATTCTCCGGGAGTTATCTTCTCCCTGGCAGGATTTTGTGGGAATGTCTTTCACTCTTTCTCGGATGTTCTCATCCCACTGTTTGCTACCGCACGCCCCTTTAATCGCCAAGTGAAGCTTCTGATAACGGACTATCGGAAGTGGTTTATTTACAAGTTCATACCCATACTACAAGCACTGTCCAGGTATAGTACTTTCTGTAATTCTGTTCTGTTTATATGTCATGGTAAGTACTCATTTTATTAGTAATGGACTAATCCAATCCCTTGCAATTCTTGTTTTAAGGTATGAGATGGTAGACATTGATGATGTACAAGAAGATGGAAAGAACATTCATTGCTTCTCAAGGCTAACACTAGGCCTAAAAGGGCGGCAGAGTAACGAACTCAGTATCAACACATCAGAATCCGAGTTCACGATCATCGACTTCAAGAAGTTCTTGAGAAGTGCTTACTCATTGAGGAAGACAACCGCCATCAAACTGCAAGATGGAGGGAAGAAGAAGTTGGCGCCGGTGCTCTTGATCGTTACTCGGAGAAGGACTCGGGCGCTGAGCAATGTCGAGGAGGTCGAGAGGATGGCTGTGCAGCTAGGGTTCAAGGTGACGATAGCAGAAATTGATGCGAATGTGTCGAAGTCGGCAGAGGTTATAAATTCGTGCGATGTGGTTCTGGGAGTTCATGGAGCTGCTCTGACGAACATGGTGTTTCTCCCCGAGAACGCGGTTCAGATCCAAGTTGTTCCGTTTGATACGGATTGGATTGCGAAGAATGCTTACGGGGATCCGACCAAGGACATGGGAGTAAGGTACTTGGAGTACAAGATTGGGATTGAAGAGAGCAGTTTGTCGAAGAAGTATCCACCTGATCATGCTGTTTTGACCAACCCAAAATTGTTTGTTATGAAAGACCACACCACAGAATTTGCTGAATGTTAATGTGAGGATAAGAAGATTCGCTACAACCTGAGTTTTGAGCGGCAACCAAAACAAATTTGAAAGACTAATAAATAGCAATCAATAAAACGTAAAAGAAAGGGGAAGCAATTACTATTTGCATTAGCTTCGAGACCCGGGCGGCCGGGCCCTGGCTAGTGGCTAGTGCTACAGTCTACAAAGCCCATAACCCAACAAATCACGTAGCCATCCAAAAACAAATAAAAAATCACCCCCGAAAAAGAAAAAAGAAAACAAAAAACTAGCCGTTGCCGCGATTCAAAATTTCCATTTGATTTGTTGCTTACTAGATGCGCACATAACACTTAACGGGCAGAGAGCTTTTCGTTTCCGAAGGGTAAGCCAAATTCAGAGACACTCTCATTGAAGCTCCAAAAACAACTCCTCCGATCTCTCCCTCGCTCTTTATATCCCGGCAATCTCTTTCACCTGCGCTCTTCCTGGATCTGCTTCCTACTACCTCTCTGCATTCGGTGAGCTTTGCCCGTTTTCTTAGCTTGCTTACTACCATTTCCTCCCGCTAGTCCTTTTTTCTATCAGCTTTCAGTCCAGTGGTCACTTATGGAAATAAATTAGGGTTCCATTAAAAAGTTTCCTTGTATGGCTAGATCGATCGATCTATCTATCTCTTCTCTGCTTGAAATTGGAAAGCTTGTTCACTTACTATGTTTCGCCCACTGATCTCTTCCCAGACAATCGAAAGGAAACTTTCACTTAAATCTTGATTCGAAGACTAGGATTTGGTACATTTCTGGTTCAATTTTTGGTAATTCCGGCGTAATCAAGGAGAAATTTCGTGTGTTTGTCGAAATTGCTAGGTTTTCAGGTGGCGGATTATTTTTCGGCAGGTAGTTAAGAATCCGGGCCTAGATCATAAAAGGGGAAGTGGAGAATGTCTGGGAAGGCGCCTGGAACGCCAGCTTCAAAAATTGAGAACAGAACCCCTGCATCAACTCCAGGGGGAGGGAGCAAAGCAAAAGAGGAGAAGATCGTAGTTACAGTACGTTTACGGCCTTTGAACAGAAAGGAACAACTAGCAAAGGACCAAGTAGCATGGGAATGTGTGGATGACCAGACCATTGCTTACAAGCCCTCTCCCCAGGAGCGCTCAGCTCAACCGGCTTCTTTCATTTTCGGTAACTTTGACTCTCCCACCACCACTAATTTCTGTAACTAGATCTATTTCGTTCCTGAAATTGACGTTGATCGCCATTTTTGTTACTGGGTCTTGTAGATAAAGTGTTCGGTCCTACTTGTATAACGGAGTCTGTGTACGAGGATGGAGTCAAAAACATTGCCCTCTCTGCTTTGATGGGAATTAACGGTAGTTTATTATACACTCTGGGGTTTGCTGTTCATCTGTGTGATTTGCCCCTTTGGAGGGTTCCAAGTTAGCTACCAGTGCTAATTACATTTCGACTGCAGCAACTATCTTTGCATACGGGCAAACAAGCAGTGGGAAGACATACACTATGAGAGGAATAACTGAAAAGGCTGTTCAAGACATCTACAACCATATAAGAAACGTATGTGTACTAAGATTTACTGTTTCACTAGTAGGCTTAACAAAAGCTCGATTCAAGGTTACAATGAATCGTTGTTCTATTGCAGACCCCAGAGAGGGACTTCACAATAAGGATGTCAGGGCTGGAGATTTACAATGAAAATGTGAGGGATTTGTTGAATTCGGAATCTGGCCGCAGTCTCAAGCTTCTAGATGATCCGGAGGTATGCTGCAATTTGCAAGAACCCTTGTCTGTTTTTTGTTAGACCTGGATGGAACCTAATAATCTTTGATGATGGCAGAAAGGAACCGTAGTTGAGAAGTTGGTGGAGGAAACAGCAAGCGACGATACACATTTGAGGCAGTTGATCAGTGTGTGTGAAGGTAATCTGGTCAATGATACTGCACTCTCTTTCATTCTAGAGTTGATTTTAATAAGCAGATGACTAATCAATTATTTTCGGATTACAGCCCAAAGGCAAGTTGGTGAAACCGCACTCAATGATACTAGTTCACGATCACATCAAATAATCAGGCTGGTTAGTGTTTGTTAGCTCCAGTTTGTGTTGATACATGAGCATGATGATGTGTTTTAGCAAAAGCTAATACATTAAGGTTTATTTATCCTTGTGCACACAGACGATACAGAGTACTCTACATGAGAATTCCGATTGTGCGAGGTCGTTTGTTGCAAGCTTGGTAAAAACTCTTGGAACTCTTCCCCCCCTTACCGCAATGTTCCCACAATCAAATGACATTCATCTAATGGACTTTATCAATTCAATAACCCTGACAGAATTTCGTGGATCTAGCTGGAAGTGAAAGGGCTTCACAGACCCATGCTGATGGTACCAGGTTACGAGAAGGTTGCCATATCAATCTTAGCCTGATGACCCTAACGACAGTAATAAGAAAACTAAGGTCAGAGCATGTCTGCTTTCTTTCTATTTCTGTGCATTCTTTACATTCGTGACTAACCTTCACATTCTTGTTTAAGTCCTCATCCATTGGAGCTCAACTTTTCTTCTTGAATGATCATTAGTGTTGGGAAGAGAAGTGGCCACATACCCTACAGAGACTCGAAGCTTACGCGCATACTGCAGCACTCACTAGGCGGAAATGCTCGTACTGCCATCATATGTACTTTAAGCCCAGCATTGACACATGTTGAACAATCTCGAAATACTCTTTACTTTGCAACACGAGCCAAGGAAGTTACAAATAATGCACAAGTCAACATGGTATTTATTCTCCTTGTTGTTTCTTATAATATACTGCCATTCTGTTTTTCATTCTGGTTTGCTGTGAAAACATAAGCTAATTTCTTCAACAAAATTATATTATTAGGTTGTTTCGGACAAGCAGCTAGTTAAGCATTTACAGAAGGAAGTGGCGAGGCTGGAAGCAGAACAGAGGCGCACTCCTGACCCTTCAAGAGACAAGGACTTGAAAATCCAGCAGGTATAACTTTGAAAATAGTTTTGATGAAAGCCAAAGTTGGTAGCTTTGTTTCAGATGTAATAATCCTCTTCTTTACACCCATATGTCATCTGCAGCTGGAGATGGAAGTCGAGGAATTGAGGCGCCAAAGAGATCTTGCAAAATCTGAGGTGGATGAGTTACGTAGGAAAATGGAAGAGGAGCAACAACAGGTCTGCTTCTGCTGCCTTTCTATGACATTCTGTCTGTCTTCTCTGTCACCGGATGGTTGTTTCACATTTGTCCCGAAATTTCTGGTGTATAGGTGTGCACTAAAGTAGAAGAATCACCCCGCCCAGCTGTGAAGAAGTGTCTATCTTACTCGGAAGCATTGCTATTAAAACCTGAGAGCAAGGACTCAAAGCGCAGTGAGAAGATGAGAAAAACGACCCTAAGGCAGTCCATGAGATCATCATCAGCTGCACCTTTCACCCTGATGCATGAAATTCGTAAACTCGAACACCTACAAGAGCAACTTGGGGAAGAAGCAAACCGAGCTCTTGAAGTACTGCAAAAGGAAGTTGCTTGTCATAGACTAGGTAACCAAGATGCAGCAGAGACGATTGCCAAGCTGCAAGCTGAGATAAGGGAAATGCGTTCCCTTCCACAGCTTCCAAGGGAAGTTCAAATTGGAAGCGTGATGATACCTACCAACAAAAGTGTTAGTGCTAATCTGAAAGAGGAAATAACAAGACTTCATTCACAAGGAAGCACCATTGCCAATCTCGAAGAGCAACTGGAGAACGTCCAGAAGTCTATCGACAAGCTGATCATGTCTCTCCCGAGCAATAATACTCCAGAATTGAACTTTGAGTCGCCAGCTTCCAATTCTAAGAGTCAGCACAAGAAGAAGAAGATACTCCCTTTATCTCCGAGCAACAGTGGGATGCAGAACTTCATCCGATCTCCATGTTCACCTTTGTCATCATCAAGGCAAGTATCAGAAAATGACAGAGAGAATCGAGCACCAGAGAATGTTGACGTTCTTGTGTCGAATGTCAACTCGCAGCAAGAATCTGAGAAACAGACTACTACTCCAATGAAGAGTGAAGAGTGTGGAGAAGTGTCCAGGGAAGGTGTCTCCCCCGGCTATCGACGTTCGAGTTCTGTCAACATGAAGAAGATGCAGAAGATGTTCCAGAATGCAGCTGAGGAAAACGTGAGAAGCATTAGAGCATATGTGACAGAACTGAAGGAACGAGTTGCCAAACTCCAGTACCAAAAGCAGCTGCTAGTTTGCCAGGTGATACATACTTCCTATGTTGACATTACTCAGATTCTACACTACACAGTCAATTGGGTTAACATAGCTTCTGATGCTTGTTGTGGTTCCTTGCAGGTTCTGGAACTGGAAGCAAATGAGGCAGCTGGGTATAACATAGAGGAGGATGAGGAGGAAATGATGGTCGATGCGGTGGAACCACAAGTTCCATGGCATGTGACCTTCAGAGAGCAGAGGCAGCAGATCATAGAATTGTGGGATATTTGCTACGTACCAATTATCCACAGAACACAATTCTACTTGCTGTTCAAAGGCGACCCTGCTGATGAGATGTACATGGAGGTAGAACTCAGGCGACTAACCTGGTTGCAGCAGCATTTGGCTGAGCTGGGTGATGCAAGCCCTGCTCGTGTTGTCGGTGGAGATGAGCCAACGGTTTCCCTTTCATCAAGGTTCTTTCTTCTCTCTTCTCTTCATCTGCTTTTCTTTAGGGAACTAATTAACCTCTTCCAGGAGCCTTAGTCTCGTTTCTCTGATACATTTTGGGTCTTTGCAGTAGGAGAGCGTTGAAGCGTGAGAGGGAATTCCTGGCTAAGAGGCTGACGCGGTTGAGCATGGAGGAGAGGGAGGCGTTGTTCATTAAATGGGGTGTGCCTTTGGATGGGAAGCACAGAAGGCTGCAGTTCATAAGCAAGCTATGGAGAGATCCTCACGATTCGAGGCACGTACAAGAAAGTGCAGAGATTATTGCAAGGCTGGTTGGGTTGTATCAAGGAGGGAATTTGTCCAAGGAGATGTTCGAGCTCAACTTTGCACCGCCATCTGGGAAAAGGCCATGGTGGGCTATGGAATGGAACCAGATTTCCAACCTCCTTAACCTTTGAGGTTGGATTGCTGGGCTCGTGCCAGTAAGTAGTATTAGGTTTCCGATTTGTACATGGAAATGCAGCGCAACTCCATCGGTTTCTCGCATTCTGGAACCAATTTTCTTCGTTTCTGCTGTTTAGGGGTTTTTTGGCTCATTAGTTGATGGGGGACTAAATGAATGTGTAGTAGTATGGGTGCTCGAGAAAATGGGAGCAAGCACTGATGAGACATGAGAGTACTCCTAATAATCGAACTAATTCGAACAATTTCATATTGGAGGTTGTTTTGAATGATGAATTACTATCCTTGTGGGATCAACAACTGAGGTCAACCCAATTTCGGTTCATTCAAAACAATGTGCATACTGCATAGTGAAATGCCAAAGCTGAACTCTTTTATGGTGGACAGAGTGGGCCGAGTTGAAACTAGATGACCTTTTTTGGAATTTTATGGCAATCAAATGATAAGAATTGAGGTTTATTGTAATGTTAAAATATTCTTGTGTTAGAGTCAAAGCGATGAGTTCGATCTCTTGTATAAGCAATTAAGCATACATAGTGATTTATTATTTTTTGGCCTAATACAAGAAAGGGCCCTTAGGGTTTGGGTCACTTGTACCTAGAGCTGCAAATGAGCTGAGCTGCTCGACTCGAGGAAATTTCGTTCGAAACTCGACTCGTTTACTAATGAGCCGAGCTTGATCTTAGGCTTCTGCAGCTCGTGGAGCTCGCGAGCTAACTCGACTCAGTGGCTTGTTGAGCTCAATTCATGAGCTGGCTCGTTTAGTGCTCATAAGATGTCTCAACTCTTAACATTGTGACTATAGAGCCAACTCGATTACCGATTTATGAGCGAATTGATCTATATGAATTTGATTTGATGATTTATAGGGTTGTTAAATCATATATCTCACCCTATATAAAGTTTAACATATAGATTATGTGAGCAAATATGTCTTATTTAATTTTATAAATAAATTATATATAATAGATTGTTTGGATACTATGAAATAACCTAATTTCACTAGTTAAAATTTATTAACTAAATAGTTTGATACCACAAAGTATTAAATAAGATCAATTAATATTGAACACTTAACTTTTATTATTATTATTATTATTATTATTATTATTTTAATCTTGACATTAATCACATGTATCTTGTATGACATACAAAATTAATATATTTAATATGAGTCAAGATTTTATTAAGCAAGCAAGCTCGAACTCGACTCGTTAAAACGAGTCGAGCTCAAGCTGGGGTAAAACTCGACTCGGCTCATTTGCAACCCTACTTGTATCAATTCTCTTATGTCCCGAACTTTATTTTTCGTTGAATCAGTTGCTTTTATTCTAATAAGAAATCGATACAACGAATCGGGATCACAAATCCCGAGAGTCACATACTATCCCCCACTCCTATATGATATTACTTAAACTATACGAAAAATATAAAAAGTCTATAAGTATCCCAACCCAGCCAATGCATCCTGAATTCCTCTGTTTCCACACGAGATAAACATCAAGTCCATTTTGATTAACTTAGCAACCTGTTAGGAGGGCGGCATGACAAGCCATGAATCACACCACACCTTTCCTTCCAAATAAATGTCACCAACATGCACCAAATAAGAGCATGTCATTCTCCTGCTCGGGTGGAAACAGCAGTGGTCATTGAATGCACCATGGCATCCCAATCGTTGTGCAGCAGCAGACGACATTTCATTGCAGCAGCAAGGTGACGCGAAAAAGAACACTGAACAAATAGATGGTCTCTGGTCTCAACAGCCTTACCACAAAGTGGGCATGATGCATCCATGATTTTCCCCCATTTCAACAGTTTGTCCCTTGTAACGATGACTTTCTTCATTATAATCCAAACAATCAAGTTGTATCGAGGCGGGCAGTTTCTGCCCCAGACAAGCTTATACCACGAGACTTTGGGGGCTTTACTCCTCAACGTTTCCCAAACTCGACGAACCGAGTAAACAACCATCTCCTTTGAATCCCAATAAATAGTGTCATTTTGATTATGCATCCATGGTAAAATCACTGCCCTCATATTGAGAAGCCTTCTCCAAGCCCATGAGCTACTACACTGCACCTTCAAGGACCATAGATCTCTCTGTCGACACTTATACTCACACATCCACGCAACCCATAGTATTCCTGAGTTCATTAAGAATAACCAGAGCATTCTGATGGCGCACGCCTGATTCCAGGCAACCAAATCCTTCACCCCCAGGCCCCCCTCCTTTTTAGGAAGAGCTACATACTCCCATGCCACCTTAGCTTTTCTTTCATCGATCCCATGCCATAAGAATTGAGAACATACCTTTTCAATTCTCTTAAGAGCTTTCTTAGGCAGAACAAAAAGCTGCATCCAATATTGGACCACTCCTAAGAGCACATAATTCAGCAATTGCAACCTCCCTGCATAAGTGAGCTTCTTTGCACGCCACGACCTGATTCTTTTGGTAATTTTCAACCAAAATATCAATTTCTGTTGATGATAATTTGTCGGTCAGCAAAGGTAAGCCCAAATACCGAACTGGCAAATTCCCTTCCTGAAATCCAGAAAGAGCCAGAGCATTGCTCTTGTATTGAACTGAATCACCTCCAAAGTAGATTTCACACTTGGCCGGGGTGCTTTTGAGTCCAGAGACCTGATAGAAATGTTGCAAAATCGCTTTGACTTGCAGAATTGCCTGAGCAGACCCCTTGGTAAAGGTAACACCCCTGATTGACTAGCTTCCTTCAACATAATGGACAACCCTTTCATAGCTATGGTAAATTAATACGACGACAAAGGGTCACCGTTACAGACTCCTTTCCTAGCCCTAAGAAACCACAAAGGTTGCCATTGACGTTGATACTATAGTGAGCAGTTTGTAGACAACTTCTAATCCACATCAAAAATGTTTCAGGGAAACCCATGGCACTCATCATGAAGAAAAGATACCTCCGGTTGACAAAGTCAAACGCCTTCATTATATCGATTTTAATTGCACATCGAGATGAAAGACACTTTCTGTTATAACAACTCACCAATTCCTGTGCCAGTAGTATATTATCCATGATGCTCCTCCATTTAATGAATGCAGACTGAGAATTACTGATGATTAAAGGCATTACCCCTCTAATTCTGTTAGCCAAAACCTTAGTTATTATTTTGTATAAGAGATTTATACAAGAAATAGGTCTAAAGTTCTTCAAAGTATCAGCACTTGGAATTTTTGGTAGTAAGGATACTGCAGTAGAGTTAACACCACTAGGGAGGTTACCTGAGTTGAAGAAAAAGAGTATCCCCTTGGTCACATCCTCACCAATAATCACCAATGTCCTCTTCAAGAAGCTTGTTGAAAATCCATCTGGCCCTTGAGCCTTTTGGGAGTTCATACCAAATACCACAGTCTGTATTTCCTCAACTGTGACTGCTTGAATCAGATTCTCACACTCGCCCGGGGGGATTTATTTATGAGCTAGCCGTTTCACCTCTTCTTCACTAGGGTTGATTTCCAAATTAGCCTCTCCCAGAAGTTTCTTATAGAAACCAATCACTTCCTCTACAATCTGATCAGTCAGAAAAATCCCCTCTCCTGTCTCCTTCACCAACTTCCTGATAGCTCGTTTTGAATTGCGGATCTTCATTGCTTGGTGAAAGAAATTTGAACCCTTGTACCCAACTGCTAACCACAACACTCTGGATTTCTGCCAACAAAAACTTTCGTAGGCCTTGGAGATCTGATCATATTGATCTTTAGCCTGTGCAACAGCTTCAAAATGTTCTGATGTAGGGTTCGAAAAAGCTCTACTATTGGCACTGTGCAAGGCAACATCTGCCTCTTTTACTTGATCTTGAAGATTCCCATACACCTCTTTATTAAATTTCTTTAGAGCCATTTTAACTTCACGCAACTTCCCCTAAACAATCTGCAATCTCCATGTCAGTTTTGTCTTCCTTCGTTTTGTTAATGGTTAGACTTGACGGTCAACCTAACGGCGTCAACATATTGTTGACTTTATGTCAACGTGTCTACCAAGTCACCAACACGTTAAAAAAAAATTTAATTTAATTAAATATAAAATATTTTCCTAAGAAATAATTTTTACTCAAGCCCCCTTTACATTTTTTCTTTTCAACCCAGACAGTTTACTCTGGAATCTTCTTTTCCTCTGCGAGCGTTTTCGCTTTCCCTTCACTTCAGAAATAGTCGCCCACACGAATTCCAGGCCAAACAAAGGTCGTTGGCTACCAGTGGCAGAGGAAAAGCGCCGGAGGGAGGATTTGCGACCCAACCCTCTCAATGTCGTCGCTGTTGCCAGGTGTGGTGGAGGTCGGCAATGGTTATCAAGATTAGGGGTTTAAAATAGAAAATCTAGGATCGTCACTCAAACTAATCACAAAAAAAAAAATCAAGGTGGAAATATAGATCGACGATGCAAAATTGAAGACGAAATCGAAACTTAGGGTTTTACTCGATTTAGGGGAAAGAAAAAACAAGTAGAATCGATCAATTGAAAAACAAATGGAGCAGGAATCACCCGTTAGTGGACGAATCAAGCTAAGAAACAAAACTAAAAATGCTAATTTAAAATGAAGCGTCCGTTGAACACACGTGGATCGAAGCAGTGAAGAAATCAAAGAGCGAAAGAATGAAGATTGAAGAGGGTAGAGAGGTCATGGATTTGTTTTAAAAGGGATATCGATATGCGATGAAAGAAGGAAGAAAGACATAGTAAAAAAATGAGTTTCGACGATTCTTTCGAGCACTCACCGAGAAGAGATCCACCAGCCGACGACACATGGGTAAACATGGGAGAGCAATGCCCAATCGACCTCATTGTTGAATATATGAGTTGAATGTATGAAATAAGCTTAAATGAAATTAAACATGAGTTTACCTCATTGTTGAATATATGTTGAGTTGATACTAAATATGAGTTTACTTTGTATTGAATATGATTGCAACTGATATATGTTGATTTGAATATGAATTAACCTTGTATTGAATACGACACTGAACATATGAGTGTAAACTCATTCTCTTCTACGGTACTAGTTCAATTAATATTAAATACCATGTAAAGTAATATTCAGTAAGAGGTTATCTGACATTCACCTAACAAATATTCAAGACAAATAAATCAATCATCTTTGGCATTAATTCAACTAACATTTGATACAAGACAAACTCATATTCAATACTCTTACGTGTATTTCTCCCGTGAGAACCTTCACGCAACGTACGTCGTCGTAATCGATAGATAAACGTAAGAAAGAGACTTAAAACGAAGATAATGGAGATGAAAGAGGGATAAACTACAAACTACTATTGAATTCCAATCTTCTCATATTATTAAACGAATGGACAAGTACATATTTATATGCATAGAACATCTCATTTCTTCTATCTAAAACATGAATACT